CGAGCTTCTCCTCCTCCCTGTTTCGTCTGCGCCAAGAAAAACAAACAGATTAGCAGATTATATTATATTTTATGAGCGTGGGCAGAAGAACAAACAGAATCTGTTTGTGTGATGACTTTGCTGGTGTGTTTCTGATGACAAACTCAACAAGAAGAAAAGCCCTTATGTACCAGTTTTCTACCAATTTGTTTCTAAGATAAGGCTGAAGACACTGTTTGTACTGCAAGCGTTGGCTGATTGCAGTTAGTTTACAGAGAAATATTGCTTTTCTTTTTTGTTTTCACGGCTGTAGAGTGGGCTTTGATGGGATTATTGTGTAATATTGCGTAATATTTAGCACTTTACGCTCTGAACCTCAAGCAGTTTCTGGACATTTTGTGCTCCTGTCACATTTTTAATCACTGTGGACAAAATAGTCACGCACCTCTATGGAAACAACACTGCTACGACTGGAAGTAGAGAAAAATCAAAGGTATATCGGTCATGAAAAAGGAAATAACAAAAGTTGAATCATTTTGATTATTTATTTTTACAAAAATTGAAATAAATTGGAAACAATATGTACAGCATTTTTCCAAGTACTAACACGTTACCAACACCCAGAAAGTAGTGCCTCTACATACTAGAGATATTGTACTCGTTACATTTTCAGTTGTTTTCTGTTGTCCATGCTTGTTGTTCATTTGTTCTGTGCAGACAAAGCCTGCAGTTCAGCCGAATAGTCAAACACAGTGAATTTTTGTCATGTGACTGTTGGTCACAGCTGAGTCACTAATGGCTTGTAAATTGTGCCAAGAAATGCAGAATTTCTTGTTTTTTTACAGAATGTGTTTATTGTAAATGCTTTATTTTTTGGCAAATTTTTGAATGAGTCATGTAGAAAAAAGTGATTCTGAAGAAATATCACAATTGTAAGCTTAGATTTGATCACGTTTTCTCATGAAACAGCACATCACACACAATTAGTTCTCTAGTGTTACAGTTTCTGGATCTGACAAAAAGCGTAATTGTGACATTTAAAAAAAATAAAATAAATAAAATGATAGTATGGCTATCAAACCCATGGGTGGGTTTTAGTGTTCAGAAGGTTAAACAATAATCCAAGACATGCACTGTCAGTTGAAGAGTGCTCTGACAAATGCAAGCCTAAATTGATTTTCTGATTCTGCAAAATGTAACTAAAGAATACAGAATCAAGTACCTTTCTCTGTTGGTTGCACAGTAAAACATCTAAAATTAAAGTTGTGATGGATGGGTCCTCGACATACACTCATTGGGGCGACGTGTGCGGCGAAAACATGCCCTGGCCGGGACTCTGATAAAATATGTAAAGCTTGGTTCAGATCGGAGTACGTAGAGGCTTCCCGTTTTATGGCAAATTGTAGAAATTCCAGGGGCCACCATTTCCACACCCTTGGATTTTGTGGAGCGTTTTGTTATTGTTTAGTCACCAAGCCCTGCTGTACATCCTGCCAAATGTGAGCTCTGTGGGACTTCCCCCCTAGGAGGAGATGGATTTTGAAAATGGTTGAAAATGAGCAAAAAAACACCAAAAATCTTGCTGTTTATTCAAAATGACGGACTTCCTGTTGGTTTTAGAGTCTGGGCTAACAGACTTTTTTGTGGACCCTAACATGATACATATGCCTAAGTTTTGTAGTTGTAGGCGAAACGTACTTCCGGCGGTATGCCATTGAAATTTTCTAGGGGGCGCTATGGAGCCATTTTGCCACTCACATGCCCAAGTCCCCAAAAATATCAAATTTTTCACCAGTTCGGATGTGCATGCAAATTTTGGTGAGTTTTGAATATGTTTAGGCCCTCTAAAATGTGTTTGTTTCGTCTGGAAAATAATTTAAAAGTCAGGATTCCAATAGCCCTGTGATAGACTGGCGACCTGTCCAGGGTGTTACCTGCCTTTGCCCTAAGTCAGCTGGGATAGGCTCCAGCCCCCCCGCGACCCAAGTGAAGATTAAGCGGTGTATAGATAATGGATGGATGGATGGATTCCTACAGTCTCCTTGCACTTTCAGTGTTCGGACACAAACTACAGACAGATTCATACTGGGGTTTGTTTCCTTGTGAAAAAGCCTTATATCCAAATGACGTCACTCAGTTTTGAGGTGCTTTTCTTTCCTCTCCTTTCTGCCATTTTGCAATATTCTGCAGTGCAGCAATAAATCAAAAGTTTACCACAGAGACTACAAATGCACACGGGCCTGAAAGATTACTTCACGTCAACTTTAGTCAGTGTTTTCGTTCAGGATCCTCAGGAGGATTCAGCCCACTCCTTCCTACAGCACCATCTCAAAAACCCTCCGAAAAGTTCTTTGCTGACACTAGAGAAAAGCGGAGGATGTTGGTTTAATGAGACTGATGCTGCCTGTGGTTAATTATGTATCCATGAAAGTAGGATTCACAAATAGAAGAAACTGATCTATGATCAAATAAGAGAAGGTAAGGAAGAATTTGCAAACTTAATGCTCAAATACAGCCACAGCAGCAGAGACAGACAACCTTGCGTTACAGTCACATGACCTCTATCTAACGGAGCATGATGCTTTACCAGCCTCCTGCTGCACATTCTCTCCTCCACAGCTCATTGCCTGCATATGGTAACACTTAGTTGCAATTGGTGAACATACGCAGAGCCACTTGGCTGTCAGTCCACATTGTGGTTTAGGTCTCATTTGGACTTAAGCTGTTTACATGAACCTTTGATGCCCCGAAAATGAATAAACCATGAATAAATTCCATGAATAAACCAAATCACAGACTATTTCTGGAGCTCCTTTTCACAGAGCATTTCGACTGCAATTAACTAGAAAAATGCATTTCTTTAGCTGAGAAAAATGAGGTTAATGTTCTTGCAATAATTTAGCGGCATTCATGTCTTTCTAGGATATTATTTTTTTTGTGAACAACTTTTAATTCATTTCAGTCCATTCAGTTGTGGCACACAGAGGTGCCTTGACTACAAAAGCTCATGTAGGAAATCTGCAAAAGAAGAAAAAAGAAAAATCCACTAAATTAGCAGCAAACACAAGAGCACAGTCTCAAACACAATCCAATAACAGAGAGTCGGTACAAATCAAGTTATGAGAAGCAGATTGCATCACAACCGTGGAGGTCACAGCTCCAGATAACCTCATTTTGTTATCTCTTTATAGAGTCACGATTAGAAAAACAAAAAAAACCCAAAAGAAATATAGAAAGAAAATGAAATAATAAAGGTTGGATACAAAGGAACATTCATTCAGAAAACAAACCAGCCAAGTATTTTTTTTACCACAGTATAGTTTTTTTGAATAAAGTCCAGCAAGAAAAGCCAATTACTTCTGGTTCTAGTCTCTGTATCGTCATCATAGTTTTTTTTAATTAACCATGTCTCCCTCTGTGGAAGTAATTTTACAACAACAAATGGGTTTTATAAGAAATGTAACACTGCAGATATCGTTTTCAATTAACATAATGTGGAGTTGTTGGCAATGAATCCAATTTGACAAGAGGTAAAATGCAAGAACTGAAAGTATCTGTGACATTTCCAATCACAGTTTATCTCATTTGTTGTGTTTTTTTTTTGGTCATATCTGATCTTGCAACACAATATCAGCTTGCAGTAACCAGTGATGGAATGTAATTAAGTACATCTACTCAAGTATTGTACCTAAGTACAAATCTGTGGTACTTGTACTGTCCTAAAGAGTTCAGTATTGTGCAGCTTTATTCTTCATCTCAGAGGCAAATGTTGTACTTTGTGCTCCTTTCTGGGTAAATTTATGTATCTTCAAGAGCTGAGCTTGACTTGTTCTGATAAACTTAAAGGTTAAATGTTCCGTTTTGAGTTGAGAACATTCTCTTAAGATGGATGAACTATTTTGTTTAAAGTAAGTAAATAAATAAATAAATGAAAATCTCTTGGATTAGCTGGAAAATGTCACAGAGATGAAAACATGGCTGTTTTTCTGAGCTCATGAAAAGCTGACTTTTTAAACATTTGCAGTTCTCACAAGATGGCGATACTACAAACGTATGATTATCATCTAGGATATGATGCATTGTTGCAGATTAAACTACCCATCAGTGCATAAAGTAGTTGAGATAAGCTCAAACTTAAACATCAACAACGGTAAAATACGACATACACATTGATGCATTGGTGATACTAATCACAAACTCACATATGACAGTAAATCAGTCACAGGGAACATTCTTTTGCACAAATGCTTTTATTTTGGATACTTCTGCTGTTAATGCTTGCATTCTTCTGCTTAAGTAAGACTTACAATACATTCCTCTAAACATGTGGTGCTACTTTTACTTAACTGAAGGTTCAGAATTCTTTTTTCATCATAAAGAACAGCCCCAGCATGACTAAAGATTTTCATGATTATGTTTTAACACTCACAGCACTTGATTAGGAAACATGGCGGCTTGTTGTGCTTTTGTTGCCTGAAATACAATCAGGATGCAAGTCCTTGTCTCCACAGTCACAGTCCTGTGCTTTGTACAATTGCCTTCCTATATACCTAAATGTTTGTCTTTGAACATAATCCAGAAGGTGATGCATTTCTGGAAAAGAAATAAGTGCAAACTTTACAAAATTTCTAGGAAACAGGGATGTTTTAACCATGTCAACACTGATGCTACTTTACTAGCATTATTGCATTTTTGCTATAGTAATCATGCATGCGATGTCTTGTCTGTAGCACATTAATCTTTATTTGGGGTTGGATGAGTGACAAGATAAGGATCAGTTTGTCAATATGTGTAACAGCCAAGTGTCCTTCTGCAGACCCAGATAATGCACAAGTCAATAATGACTCACATTAACAGGAGAGGGTCACCCAGCACTTTGTGGAGATTGAAGTTTTCCTGTTGCTCACAGCGACCTAACAAACCTACTATCGGGTCACTTGCAATGTCACAGTGTGTCTCACGCAGGGACAGTCGAAGCAATTTCGAACTGACTTGGTGAGCTTATAAAGGAGAAATCTTAGTGCTTGGGTGGCCGTGACCTCTTTATCTCTTCTCCATCTGCAGGTAACCTCTCTAAAACCTGCACAGCCGACGGCTGGACTGAGATGCGTCCTGTTGACATTGCTGTGAACTGTGGATACAATCTCAACGGCACAAGCGATGACGTGAGTAAACTCCTGCAGTCTATAAGCTCCACCGGCGGCCGAATAGTGAATGAAAACAGCGACGCAGCAGGAATCCGTGTCAGGAGCCAGTGGGCAGGAAGAATTGAATGAGAACATCTTTTCTTTGCTCTGTGGGTGGGTGTTGGTGTTGTTGGGTCCATCAGGAAAATAGCTGTATTGATCCCTGGTTTCTTCTATTGAGTCCTTTGTGTTATGCTGCCTAAAGCGACTGAATAATTACAGCTAACGTGAGTGAATGCGCTTTACAGTGTCACGCTCTCAGGGCATGCTGTTTGTATGGTACGTGTTAGGGCTTTGAAAAGCGAGGTCATTTAGATTATTGTTACACTATGGGTGAACAAACATCCCAGTTTTAGACGTATCTTCAGAAATTCCAGGAAGCAGTCAAAAGAGGAAGACTCAAAACATGCTTTTTCAGAGTTTTGAATTTAACCTTTTGGCTTTCTTGTCACAAATGAGGTAATATTGATACTCTCGTGTGTTTGGAGTTAGCTGGAGATTAGCTGAGCCTAACGTCAAATCTGGAAGAAGGAAATTAGCTAGTGTGACCAAAGATAAAAGGTGGACTTAGCAGTAAATTGATAGCTAATTAATTTGCATATATGGTATTTTATACACGTATGTGTGTGGTCATTGCATTCCCAAGTGCTTCAATAGACTAGAAGGCAAATGGATTTCTCTTTTTTGGTTCTTGAAAGATCCTCTCATCCACAAGACTTCTTCAATTTTAACTGACTACCAGGTATTTGTTCCTACTCCAAATTGGCAATATTTGAAGCTTGTTAACAATCTGCAATTCAGATTGTTAAAGTACCTGGGCAGGGATGTCAAGACTGCATTATAAGTGCCTGATAAGTGGTGTCGTACACCCCTCTTCCTGTTTAGAGAAGACCATTCACACCTTGAGCCATGAGAGTTGGGGGTAAGGATAAATACCTGGAACTAGTCCAGCTGTTTTCTACTTAGGATTTCATATTGTGTTTTTGAAAGTCACAATCTGTACTAAAATGTAAAAATGGCAATATGTGGTTGCAGTTGGAGTTACTGGTTGTTGATTTACTATGGAGACGTTAATGCAAATTGTTGTTTCTACATTTCTGTCTGTGTTCAACAACAGATACACAACTGAACTACAAAGACAGCCAGGCTAAGCTTTCCTGGATTTTATACAAGGCAAAACTAATTACTTGCTTTTTACAAACTTGGAAGAAGATACCTTTTTCGGCCACTTTAGAAAATTAAACTCATCTGGCGGCACATTACTGCCACCTTGGAAAAATACATTTTCTTGTGGTTTTCCGGTGAGAGGCTTCTCATAATCTTGTGAGCTATCTTGTCTTTATTACAAAACACAGATTTCTTGACAGTCTTTTACTCTAGCCCATATTTCACAAAACCACAATATCCTAATTAAACCAACTTCTCATTTTAGCAGGTTTAGCTGGTGTGCTGTTATAAAAAGAAACTCTTGAATGTGATGTTAAAATGGCAGAAGAAGGCTCATCTGTGCCTGTGGCCATCATACACACTGTAGCTATCATATAACATGACTGGTAAACATACGTGATATTCCTATGGGTTGCTGTTGTTTTGTTTGTGTGCCTCGAACAATGTTTATTCCTCTCAACTGAAGAATTCATGACCTAAAAGCAAGAACATTCCGACTGCATTATGAATGAATATACCAACAAGTCAACATCATTTGCTGCAGGAGGCGTACGTCTTTGAAGCACAACACATTTGATTTTCATTGACAAGGCCAGGTTAGTTGATAACTCCTGCCTGTGTTATCAGGCATTATGAGTCATTAGAGGTTATTCATGATGCCTCCAGGGGAAGGAAGAGAATAAATACATCAAACGTTGGCCTTATTTAGTTTAGCTTTACTGCAGGGAGGGCTAATCTTGTCTGTGTAGTCAAAGGTGGAACAGGGTGAAGAGTGGATGTGCACTACAGGGTGGTAAAAGCTTTCTTGGTGGGCACTCTGCTCTCTGAGTCACATTATTTCTCATTAGTATGCCACATAGGAAGTCAAGAGGGACCTGGCTAGTGAAGTACTCTAAAAGGAATTTGATGTCCATCTTTCTGCATACTTGATATCTTCCATGTGCCACAGGATACAGAGCTCTTAATCTCATTTTCATCAAGCACATAACACACAGTGCCATGGCAGTAACATGGTAAAGCTACTCTGAAAGGCTCTCCAAGTTCATGTGCACTTTCTGGAACCCAGCATGCTATCGAAGTACTTTTACCTTGGACTGTGTCAGTGAGTCCGTTTGTATTGATTCCTAAAAGGGAAAGACACAAAAAAATTGTGCTTTAACACTTAAAGGTCATTGCAGATGAGAACAAACACTCTTGATAGCTGTAGTTGAGCAGGAAAGTTAAAAGATCATTTAGTTTTCAGATTGTTAAACGTAACTAACACCAGGTGTAAAATATCAGTGTGTCAACAGACGCCAGATATTAAAAGAATTTTGTGTTTCCTTCAGTTTCCTTCACCTAGTATTGATGTTTGTTTTTGTTTTTTTCTGCAGGAAAAGTTTTTCTGGCAGGTGAAGATTGGCTACACCATTGGCCACAGTGTTTCACTCATCTCTCTCACTACAGCTATTGTGATTCTCTGTATCTTCAGGTACGTATAAATTAAGCTGTTTTTTAAAAAAAAAAAAATATATATATATATATCAGGAGCTGTAACAATTCTCAGCTTAAATAAAAAAGAAACATATATTTTATAACAAAAATTTTGTGTGACTCACAGTTATCCAGCATTTTCATCACAAGCTCTTCTACAGCCTTTAAACTTCTGGTTAAATCATTAAATAATTAACAAATGCATTACTTTTTTTAAATAAAAAAAAGTCAAAGCTTTAGTGCAGGAAACTTTAAGTGCAACTTCCAAGAAAGAAGCATCCAGTCTCTAAGCTTAAAATTCCATCATGTCAGATGTTTATTGAAATCAAAAATCACAATCTGCGTGTTTACAACTGTTCAGTTTTTTAAGTCTGTCTCAGGTTTCATAGCATTCAGCAGCTGTGGTGCCACATTCAGCTCCCTACCTTTCACATATGTGCCATAGCCAGAGAACAAGCTTTTACACCCATCTGCTGTGGTAAAATAACACACAAAGCCTCATATTTCAGAAACAAATTGGATGTCACAATAACGAGTTACAACATAAACCTACAGAATCGATATGTTATCCAGCAGATTTTAAAGCGAGCATGTAAAGAAAAACATCGAGATGGGAAAAATGATTGAAGTCAGACACTTCTGGAAGCAGCAACCTCTCTCACTCCATGATAATTCCTTATAGGTTAACCTGTTTTCTGGCCTCCTGCAGACAGTTATTTAGAAAAACAATAAAAGAATAGAATAAAAACAATCAGTCACCACTGCAGAGCAAGCACGAGCAGTTTACCATAAAACACAGTGATGTAACCAGCTCTAATCTATGCAGCTTCACACCCGAGTATAAATAGCAAGCTTTTTTTAAACTATGAAAGATGAAGGGAAAAAAGACACAAATGCTCTCTAAATGAAATAAATTGTCACTCAAACTTGATGGCTGTGGATTTTTTGATGGTGCATGTCTGCTGCGGTTTGGCGGCTGTACATCTGTAGTATAGCGGGATTAAAGAGGCAGACGTGTTTGCTTTTTGACAAGTCAGGGATTCATTTTAAGATCCCCAAGAGCATTAACAGTTTTGATATCAAGAATAACCGAGGTCGCAGCTTTAGAATGCTGCATCTTAACCCGAAAGGCAAATGAATAGACAATGAATGCAGTGACTCACATCGATTCCTTTGAAAAATTCTGATCTGTAATTGTGTACGTCATTTCTCCCCCTCAGAGAGATGAACTTTTAACCCTCCCTCACTCTTTCATGTTTAACACTGAATGGATGGTCTACAGTTGTGCACATATCTATTCTTATTTACAGCATTTTGTCACTAAACAGGCTACAAATAAGCTGCTGCGCTGTTGCAAAAATCCCCAACAGTACATTAACTGTGAAATAATACTACAACAACCCTCTGTGCTCACTTAATCTCCTTCTATTCACAGAAAGTACAAGTGCCGACTCTGGACCCTCTAGCTTCTGTTCAGGGCCACGGTGGTGCAGTTGTTTTGCAGGAAACAGCTTTTCTGTGACATTTTTCACGTGTCTTGTATAATTTGTCCCTTCCTCTGCCGCTGCAGTTGTGAGTTACTTACCGACCACAGGTACTTTTCATGCTCCCCACAAAGACTAGGTGTGAAAGTGTGTCCAGCTGAGAGGTTTATTCACCCTCACGCATTCAGAGCCACACGGCAGTGCCAAGGTCAAAAAGATAGACTAAACGTGTGAAGGTGTGAAATCAAAACAAGCCACAGATTTGAGCCAGAAGGAGACTGATGACGGGGCAGTGGGATGTGGGTGGGAGGAGCAGTGAGGGGTATCAGTGGGAGATAATAGGATGGATAGCATCGCACCTGTTCTTCAGATGGCACCAAACGACCAAAAATAAGATTGCGATGTCTTGAAATATAGGCTTTATCAAAAAGATGCTTGTAGGAAATTCTTCATGGCAGCTTTTGAAAATGTTTCATGCAAATGTCCTCAAGCATGAAGGAGAGTAACATTTTATCACCAACATTATGTGCTATTATATTAGAGATGTAAATTAGATATAATGAATAAGAAATTACATGGAAATGTACTTGAAAATATCCTTCTTTATGCTGATGATATTGTGTTGTTACTAAAAAACTGATTTACATTCAGTGATGACGTGTTATTCAGTTAGTTGCCTTCAGTTATAATTACTTTTGTAAACCCTGAGTTTTGTCTGTCAGGCTACATATAGTATGTCAGACCTTAGTGGTGACAGTTATAAACACATCTTCCACAACACTTTAATGTGTTGCAACACAACACAGGCACAGGCATCTCTAATTACATTCACAATGACTGCATCTGGTTTCAGTGTGCAGGTTTCAGGGTTCTGCTGTTTTCCCTGCTGGCACACCTACAGGGACACTGTGCCATTACTGGTATTAGTCATACCTTTGATTTTCTTGCCAAGTCAGAATATTTGCTATGAGGTCAGTTGGACCTGAATGCAGCTGGCACAACTCAGGACTAAAAATAAGAACTGCCAGGAGTGTTATCTGTGGTATTATTTTTTACAACAGTTTAATTATTTAAACTGTGTTTATCAAGACAGAACTGTATTTTTGTAATTACGATGCAAATACAGCAAACCAGAAAACATTAAAATACGTATATATACCAAGCTAAATACTAGACTAATACTGAAGTTCTGCAAGAAAGCTGAACATCAAAGTTTTTGTTGAAACTGCATTAGAGCGTTAACGAGTTGTCATTTTGGAAGATGCAGTTTTCTGTTGAATTGTATTTACTCAGTGGCGGCCGTGCATTTTACATCTAGGCCTTCAGTGGTGTCCTACCTGAATCTAACCAACTGTTAATATCATCACTATGATACCACAGCTATAGAAATCATCAATATTATACAGGCGGTATAACAGGATGTTACATCACAGACAGGTATCTCTTGAAGCGAAAATGGATGCCTTTAGTAAAGCAAGAAACCCATTTAAAACTATTCAACAAGTCTCGTATCACTGCAGCCACAGCTGCACCATATACATCACACCTACCTGGAGCATCAATTTTAACCTAATAAAAACCCACATATATTTCATTTTACTCTCAAAAACTTGTGATTATTTGAACACTAACTCCATCCTCCCTCGCAATGAGTTAAATCACTCTGTTGAGCAGGCAATCCGTGCGTTTCATTTCCAACAATAAGTCCTGTTCTATCGCCATGGAGGCTGATGCTGAAAGTTGGGTCTGTCCAGTCGTATTCCTGCCTTAGTTGTAATTCGCTTTAATCGTATTCAGGACTTTCATGTTTCCATACGTAGAAGGTCTTTCGGGGGTCCATTGGACCTCAAAGAAGAACATGTATAAAATATTTGTTGGTATTCATTAAAGACTTTTATACTATATTAAATACATTTTCTGATAAGTTGACATAGTTTTGGTTCCAAATGCATGACAAATGTCCCTCTTTTTACATTTCAAAAAAAAAATCTTAAAAAGTAAAAAAAAAACAATTCCTGTCACCTAAATCAAATGACCTGGGGTCCAAAAGATCCCAAAAGTCCCGAATAGGGTTAGGCCAAGAATATCCAACTGCTTAACTTTAAAAAAAACAAACAAAACAAACAAACACACAAACAAAAAACACCTATTAATATTATTACGATGAAGTTTTAGCTTGTGCAGGTCACTACAGACAGGAACCGCTAGCTTTGGCTAAGCTCTCTAACCATCCAATCAGAGGACGTGAAAGTGCTGACGTCATCGTAGGCCAGCTAGCTGGTCCTGGGACCACCAACTCTAAATCTGATTGGTTAAAGCAACAGTTTCATTGCGATGTATTTTACGCTACAGACACCTGCACTGTTGGTTCTGAAGGCCTCTGAGCAGATTTCGTGTGACTGTGGCAACACGTGATGGCTGAAACATGATTGGATAAAAGCTCTGATGTAAACATACACTGCTGGAAGCACCACAGCCCAGAGACATGTTATGAAATAAAGAGAATAGACTGTTGGCAATAATATGAAAAGATTAATGAGGAAATATTAAAACGTAAGTCAGTGATTTTGATAGAATTTAAGCCAGCAGAGAAGGCCTTGCTGGCCCTGACGGCACACCATTATATTTAATTATACAAACATATGATTAAGAACTGAGTTTTAATTGAATTATTTCATAAATATGTTGTCAAGGATTTTTGGGCAAAGGATGCAGGAGGAGGAAAATTACTTTTGACAGAAAAAGCTCATTTATTGTGTGGACCACAGAATTATTCAATTATAAGCTGTTGCTACATGTCGATAAGTGTACAAATAATAGTGTTTGGCTTGCTGTAGATATATGCATGTATATGTCAGGCATGAAAACGAAAGTGTTTGTTTATTCTTTGTGCTTTCAGCAGTGCATCCTCAGCAGAAAATGTTTCCTTCTGTACACCACATCCTTTATTTTTTGACAGGAAATTATACTTATAAGCCAAAATGGGAAATAAACTGTTGTGGAAAATGACAGTCTTTGGTAATAAATACTGTTGAATCTTCACGGTGCCAGCAAAGTGACATTTGGCCCCAAAAGGAACAAATAAATGTACATGTGGCATTTCAATGCTGTCATTCAATCACAGCTTTTTGTTCTCTCTGAAGGCGTTTAAAAAGTAAATAAATGTGCTAAATTGGTCAGGTGCAGCAGTGCAGTGCCAGCTGAAGAAAACAAGCATTTAATGAAATAACAGTAGCAATTTGCAGTAAGTAAAAGATCTGGATAACAGCAAGAAAACAACAGCTATTTAAAGAGCTGTGGCAGAATGTGAACAAGCTCTCCTGGGTATGAGATAAAGTTAAATGAAACCGTAATGACTCCTGAGGGGACTTTAAGTGATTGGGCATGTATTATATCGCAGCTGAACATTTCCCCACCCTGGGAACAAGCATAAAATAATGATTGGAGCTATTGTCTCTCTCTGTAGCCATTTAATCTTCTCCTGTATGATAATGTAATCAGGAAACGACCAAGTATTCAAAAATTGATGCTTTAGGATTTCAAAATGTTTCTAACCCGCTATTTGGAAACCCATCGCTCTTGTCTTTATTGTCGAGGCGTGTGAAGGACCGTAAAAGACATTCATTGTGCTCTAAAGCAGATCCACCCCCACAGTGACAAAAGGAACCAAGGAGCTTAATTATGATTTAATTCACTCTGTCATTTTAAGCTATTAACTCCAAGGACATTGGATAATTAGTATGAAGGCCCTCTTTATCGAATTGTGTTTTGTCTCTTTGTCTCGATCTGTATCCTTGCATCTCCTTTTTCTTTCTGTCCCAGGAAGCTCCACTGCACAAGAAACTACATCCACATGCATCTGTTTGTGTCATTCATCCTGAAGGCCATCGCTGTGTTCATCAAGGATGTGGTTCTGTACGAGGTCGGGGAGGTGGACAACTGCTCCTCAGGCTCTGTGAGTTGAACGTCCGAGACGCCGCCGTTTGACGTGGTTGTTTTTGAGCTGATGCAGATGCCGGGCGTCCTTGAACCCCAAAGAAGTCGAAATCAGTCAGGCCCAGCGGCTCATATTCACCCAGCGGCTCATTAATAAGTTAATCTGGCTGTGCAAATTGGATATTCATATCTTTAATCATCTTTTTAAAAAAACAAAAAACGTCTCATCGCATCATGTTTATTTGCAGCTGCTGGAGGCTTTATCGTCTTTACATAGGATCTCTTTCTGTTTTGAAATCAATTATACATCTTTATCACTATTTACCAGAACTGTTTACCATCTCCATAGTTCCACACTCTCCCTCTCACTATGGAGAGGAAGCCTTTTCTCATCGAGAGTCAAGAGGTTTTTTTTATTACATGCTTGTACATGATGTGCAGCGAAATGCAAAATGACATCTCAATGTGCAATAACAATAAGACGGTATGTAAAGAAGAATTCTTTTTAAAAAAAACAGTAGAAAATTAGAAAAAAGTCACAATGTCTTAAATAATAGTGATCTTAATATGAAAGTGTAGTTTATATTGTGTAAGAGTGCAGCCGTGTGTGTGTGTGTTATTGTGTTATGTTACGCACCACAGCGAGGATGTCTGTATGTTATTTGCATATTGACACTGGTCCAGTGTTCTGTAATTGATGAATGAGGTGCTGTGATTTCGATTTCGACCTAAGGTGCAGCGTTCACAGTTCTGACAGCATGAGGAAAGAAGTTCTTCATGAGTCTCTCTGCCTTGATTTTGTTCAGTCCATTGCAGGGGCGGTGAGGGTCTTTCATAATCCTGCTTGTCCTGCCACGCTCCTCCTTGTGCAGATATCCTCGAGGGTGGGGAGCACTGTGCACACAGCACGCTCTGCTGACCTCAGCACCCTCTGCAGGGCTCTCCCATCTCTGGCAGCACTGTTCCCGTTCCACTGGGTGATGTTCCCAGTCAGAGCGAGTCAGAGCGCTCTCACAGATCAGACAGCCTTTAATTATGTGACACCTAACTTTAGTTTATTTTACCAGATCTGTGAAGTTAATAGTTCATTTTTATTACATTTTAAGCTACAGTGGTGGAGCTTTATATTAGATAAGGCCAAATTTTAAATATAAGGTAAAAATATGTAAAAGTAGCCCATGTGAGCCAAAAACACAGGCTTCAGATGGCTCTGAATACTCAGTTTTCAACCTTTTTTCTACTTTTTTTTTAATATGTTCTTCTGCTGGATGCACAATGTCTTGGTGAATGTATGTACACATTCTTGTAAAACAGTCATTTGGATAGCATTATAGGCATTTTATGTACTAAAGCATACAAATAACAGTCAGTTTAGTCAGACACTGTAATCATTTTACTATTTCACAAGCTGCCTAAAAGCTTCCTAACAGCATGTGTTCTCCACTTCTTTCTACATTTTCTCTTTCATACATTTTTTTTATTCCGCTTGTGGTTGAAAGACTGAACTCCACTATTATGCCACACATAAGCAGATAATGAGTGTAATATTTACCAAACAGAGACGTGCCGCCGTAATCTTTGTTGCTGCAGATGTTCTTGCTGTCTGTTCTCATATCCTGGATTGGATTCAGGCTCAAACATGTGCAGATGGATCTGAGGAGTTGCCATTTCCAATCAAGGAAAAGAAATGATGTTACTTAGCAGGTTTACAGTGTCCTTTCAGAGCTCACGAGGAAAGCCTCCCAATCAAAAATAAAGTGGGCTTTTAGGGAGGGAGACCCGCTAACCTGTTTTCAGGAAGAGACTCAACTGAGCAGCTGCATTACAGGCAGCATGAGATGATAAATAGGGATTTCTCTGAACTGCGAATCATGCACTCTTGTGATATCTCAGAATATCATAATATGTCCAATTTAAGATAAAACAAAACGTAGCATAAACGTAGTTATCAAAGAGTTGCCTGCGGGGCGGGACATTTTACGGTTAAAGAAATAAACTTTTCAGTCCTCCCTGATGGACGGACTGTGCAATGTTGATGCTGTTTGAAATTACTTTCCAAGACATGTTTGCAAAGTAAACTATCAGCTGATAATATTGACAGTGCTGATGTACTTGCCAGACTCAACTGTTCATTCAGATGTCTGAGAATTCATTTCATATCGTGACACTCGTGTGTGTAAAGACTGCAGTTTGATAAGGACTCAAGTCTGCCAATTTGCTGTAATGAATTAGGCAGGAAGGAGTCCAACCAAGGTACAAAAATAGGTTCTGTATTATGAAAACAGTGAAAAAAAACACTTTTTAATTAAAACTGAAAACTTGAATAGATATCGAAAACGCTAGCAAACTATGTAATCAATTAACTAATCTTCATTGTTCCAGTTGTAAAAGAATTATTGACAAGAGAAACCAAATTATTTCTAGTGGTAAAATTATTTAGATCCTGTGCTGAGTGAAAAGCAGAAATACCACAATATGAAACTACTTTGTGAAGAGGAAAAGTTCTGTTTGCATCATATTTTGAAAAATCACAAGTATTCCTCAAGTTCAGTCTTAATTTTTAAAGTAACTTGTACATATACAACAGAAAGATGAATATAGTGGTGAAAAATGTGCAATATTAACCTCAAAAAAGTACTTCAAACTGTACAGTAGTAAATGTACTTCCACCACTAATATTTACTGACATACAAATTTAAATTTCTAACATTGTGCCGGACCAGCATCCTGAAATTTTTTGATTTACTTTCAGTCTTACTCTGACATTAAACAATATGTAGTTAGTTGAGCTAAAGATGTGATATTCATATACTACGATAACTATTTACTATTACTGCTTATCTGCATGCATTATATTTTGAAAATTCATCAGTATTTTTTATATTCAGTCTTAATTGTCAAAGTAACTAGTACATATAGCAATGAGAAAAAGATAGTGGTGTAAAATGTGCAATACGTCCCTCAAAAAAGTACCTTAAAATGTGTATAAAGATAGTACTTGAGTACTTGTAGTGGGTTACATTCCATCACTGATAATTACTGACGTACATATTTTATTTGTAGTCTTGTACCTGGCCAGCATCCCTCAGAGGTTTTGATTTTATTTCACTTTCACTCTGATATCAAACAGAAGAAGTCCACACAGTAGCTAAATGTGAGGCGTACAAGCCACATCCTTGGATTTATATCAGCCAGCGATATCTGGTTGTCCTCCACCAGCACTCTGCCACATGACACTGAGCCACAGACCAGAGGCCCCCCGAGGCCACAGTCAGGCCTGCTGAGATGAGGTTTATGTTACACAATGTGGCAACGTGACGAGTGGAGCCTCCGAGTGTATTTATTAGTGAGCTCTCCGCTCGGCTCCAGTGTGTTAATGGTTCTATTGGGTTGACAGGAGCCAGCCGCTGTCATGGGTCGACAAAAAAAGACATTACAGAGACAGGTTTGGTGCTGCTGTGTTCGCTGCGACATTACTTCCATTACAACTGTTGGCTCAGTGTTTTCTATGTGTGTGGGTGGGTGTTCTGCGTGCTTGGTTCATTACCCCTCTTCTACAGTTGGATGTTTGCTGTAGTTACCCATTAGAATAATTTATGGTATAACCGCTCTAGCAAAGCATATAACAAATGCATTATTTAAGGTACGTGTGTGTGTGTGTTTGTTCAGCACCATCTTTTTCCCGGTGTTTTTCCAGCAGGAGAATATCTCTTCATTCATCTACGTGCCACTGATGGCAGGCTTTTTAAATTTGAGCCTCAGCGAACAATTTGGACTGATTTGCACACATTCAACTTGCGGAAAGGCCCATGTGGGTTCATTTTCTTACCCTCAACATGCCAAGTGGGAATCTGTTTATGTAGGCTACCAAGTCCCTGTCAGCTGCTTTAATGAGCTCTCCTGAACATTTACTCCATAATCAAGAAGTGAGTCAACAGAAGGTTTTGACAAAAATAATAATCATAATAATTGATCAGGTTTATATAGCGCTTTTCTAGTCACTCAAAGACGCTGTACACTGTCAATTATTCATTGACACACATTCATTCTGGTGGTGATAAGCTACGATTGTAGCCACAGCTGCCCTGGGGAAAGCTGACAGGCCTGGCTGCCATTCTGCCCCTCCAACTACCACCTCAAACAATCCATTCATACGCATTCACACCAGGCAAGGCAGGTGAAGTGTCTTGCCCAAGGACACAACAACCATGACAGGTTAGGGGTTTGGAATTGAACTGCTAACCTCCCGATCATTGACCAACTCGCTCTGTGTGTTTTTACTCGTAGCCCTTCAACAACCAAGAGTGTAATATCCACAGTTTTGGTTTGGCAGTGTCGTTTACTGTCCAAGCAGATAAACCCTGATTTTATAAACTCTGCATATGTCACATTCAGTCATCAGTCCATGCTCACAGTGTTTGAGCTTTATGAGCTGTAGCAAGTGATTTGCAACTATTTCCCCCCAGGTTTCATCTACACACTACATCCGGCTGAGCTTTACTCTTGGAGGCAGGTTGTTTTGGTCATTTTCTGTCTGAGGAAGTCTGAGAAAGATGTCTTCAGCATTATGAAATATAACTTAATCTGTTTTTATTTAAAGAATTCTAGAACTGATCATCAGTTGAATGGTGCAAGACATAGGGTTCTTAAAATAAAAGCAAAAGAACCCTGTTTATTGTATATCTGGTTTCCATTCATTTGTCCCTCCTGTGTCACACTCGCAGCAAGCTAAGCAGGGCATTCTGGTGTCGTCTCCCCAGCAATGTTTTCCAGTTTCACCTGAGGGATCGTGAGGTGAGCCCAGGCCAGATATATAATCCCTCCATAGAGTTCTGGGTCTACCTCTGGGTCTCTTCCCAGTTCAGCAAGCCTGGAAAACCTCCAGAGGAAGGCCCCCAGGAGGCATCTTAATCAGATGCCTGAATCACCTCATCTGGCTCCTTATGACACAGAGGAGCAGCAACTCTTTTCTGAACTCCCTCCGGATGGCCACGCTCCCTGCCTTATCTCCAAGGCTGAGCCAAGTCACCCTATGGAGGAAACCTATTTTGGTTGGTTGTATGCTTGCATCTACTTCTTTCAGTTACTACGCAGAGCTCATGATCATAGGTGAGGGTTGGAGCATAGATTGACTGGTAAATTGAGAGCTTTGCCTTCTGCGGCACCAATCTGTCTGTCAATGTTATGCTCCAGTTTCCTGACACTCATCAACAAGATCCACAATTTCTTAATCTTTTCTGCTTGGGAAGGTAACTCACCCAAAACCAAGGGGCAGTAATCCATCCATCCTGCAGAGATAGGTGTAGGAGTTGGGTCCACTGCAAGCTAGGTTGCAGGCAATAGTTAGGGTTAGGTGGGTTGAATAGCATTATGGAAATGCCTCTACTTTTAAGTCAAAAGCAACAACTCTGGACCCAAAAGCAGACTCATAGATAGTTGACAATTGAATTGAAAGTTTAATAATGAAGTTGAGAATGCAACATGTTGAGGCTAAGGGGGTTGGTGACGGTGGACCAGTGCTGTTCAGGAGCCAGGGCTGGCCCAGGAGGAAACCGGGATTGATTTGTGTTGGGCTGAGTATGTTGCATTGTTGGCTGGTTGGAGCAATGACATGGAGTTGGATGAGGTGGCAAACGAGCAGATGGGCAGATTAATTGAGGAGACAATGAACCTGAGGCAAATGGGAAAGCCAAGTTAAGGTGTCAAAAACCGGAAGAATAGCAACGTGCTAGAGCAAGAGAGTTGGCTGTCATGTAGGTACCACACAGGTAAACTAAATGATCTGGTCGAGAGTGGAAGGAAGAGTCTGGGTATATATGAGGGTAGTCCAAAAAGTTCTCAGCCTCACCTGGAAACATGGGGCACAACTCCCACTTTGGAACATACCTGTATACTATAAAGCCTTATATGGGTGTCCACAAAAAGTCAAATGTTTGAAGCAATCAAAGGAAAAAGGAGAGGAAAGCTTAGAAATGAGGAACTGGTGTGCTGCTGCTCCAGGACAATGCACTCGTCCACACAGTAAAGGTGGCAAAAGCAGCCAACTGTGGCTTTGAACTGTTGCCCCATGCACCTTACTTACCTGACCTCTAAACTTCTAGAAATCAGACGGTAATCTCTGCAATGTGTGGACAGATGCGTAGTCCTGGAGCAACGGCATGCCAGTTTGAAGCTTTTCCTCTCCTTGCAAAGAAATGCCGACTAACATTTGTGTTTTTGTGGACAGTGATATAGGACTTACTAGCATATAGGTGTTTCCCCAATAATGAAAGTCCCTTGTTTCCAGGTGAGGCAGAGAACTTTTGAAGTACCCTCAAATATGGCTTGAGATGATTACTGATGACTGATGGCAGGAGTATGATGGACAAGTCACACCCAAACAGCGGACTGACAACAAGAAACAAAAGAAGGAACATCAGAAACACTTGCAATAGGGAACAAGGCACCATAACGTTATCTCATAGTCATATTATACGCTCAAATTCAAATGCCTGAAGAAGCAAAAACATCCCATTTACTCTGCTGTCTCTGATTTTATTGTGTCCTCTCATTTGGAAAACCCCAACTTGTACCCTAGTTAATAACCAGGTCTTTCCTGTGTGTTGACATATAAATAAATGGAACTTATATGCAATGAAATATAGTGTACAGCTTGGTAGTTAAATATGCTTATTTGTCATAATAACACATTGTAGCATTCATATGTAAAATTTAAATCTGCAAACTACAGCTCTGACTATATGTGGTAGGTAAATGTTACAATATCCCCTGAAATACAAAGGTCCAGTCATCAGTTTACAGATTTGGATAGAATAAGATGGATAGCCTGCAGTTTGACGTCCACTTCTTCAGTCTTCAGTAATGTTTAATGATGCGTGAGTGAGGCTCCTCTGCAGGGACTTGAGTATTACACTCGAGTTTGTTTTTCCACACATTCATCATTCATAGCCTTTGAGGTTGAGCGAAGAAATGTGGTCTTTGGAGCTTTACACCATGACTTGCTAGTCCTTGTTTCTGCTCTTCTTCCTCTCATCTCAGTCTCTGAGAGATGAAAATGTTACCGCTGTTCCTGCTGCTGCCTCATTAATATCAACTCTGTCTTTACCTCTCTACCCCACCGTCTTTATTTCTCAAGCAATAATTTACTGCAGTCCATTCCTAATCACACAGCATCCGCTTCACCCTCCTCCCAATTCATCCCGTGCCTCACATTTGGTAGATCGGCTAAAGTGCTCGATGTATTCGCCCTCACAGGGTCATTTTAAAAGGGGCGCTTTCATTGATTTCTTTATCTGCATGATGTCCTCCCTGTAGGATCTCTGGGTGGCTCAACCCAAAACAGCTTGTATGTTGCTCATGGTTTATGTGTGTCAGTTGGAAATCTACAGAGTTAAAGTGTGTTTGTGTGAGTAGATGAGGTTGTGAAAGAGCAACATGCATCAGCTGAGCCCATCCTCGTGTAACAAGTTCACTAGCAGCCTCCCTACAATTGCCCAGCATTCAGCGGGAACAAAGTGAATTTTGAATGAATTCATTCCATTCTGACGGAAGCGTTGTGTTATTGTGCTGTCATCCAACCAGAAGAGAGCTTATTGTGTTATCCTGCATGGTTGTTTCAGTGTTCTTCTCTTGTACCTCGCTCACATAAATATATATTAGAACATTTTTGCACTTTGGTTCCCCTTAAACTGCATGTTGTGTAGGATAAAGATTGCAAGGAAGCAAAAATCTATTCGTGAGTGATTAAAGAATGCCACCATTTACGAAAGGGTTTATAAATGTTAACAAATGGCTTAATTATTCTATGATTTAGTAATATTTTAGAGTTTAATTATGAGCCATTCATAAGAAAAGAATACAGGCAAATCTTTTTGGCTTATAATTAAAAGCCGTTTCTTCAATAGCAACAAACAATAACTAAATGTGACTCTTTACAAGAACAACAGTTGCAATACTACACAAAAACACAATAATAAAGAATGTATGCATTTGTGTGTCAGTGTGCTTGGCCAAATCACGAAGCAAATACATTTCTTCATTTCAAAGCTGGAATATACATGGATCAACTACAACAATAAAACCACTGACAGATGACATGAATAACAAAGATTATCTTGTTGCAATGGCAGCTGTCAAGAGGTGGAATATATGAGGCTACAAATGAACAGTCAGTTTTTGAAGTTGATGTGTTGGAAGAAGGAAAAATAGGCAGCATAAGGATCTGAGCGACTTTGACAAGAGCCAAATTGTGATGGCTGGACAACTGGGTCAGAGCATCTCTACAATAGCCAGTCTTGTGAAGTGTTCCCACTATACAGTGGTTACCAAAAGTGGTGCAAGGAAGAACAACTGGTGAACTGGCAAGATGGTTTCAGGTGCACGAGGCTCACTCATGTCTGTGGGGAGCAATGGCAGACGTGTGTGGTCCGATCCCAAAGAAGAGCTACTGTAGCACAAACTGCTAGAAAATTAATGCTGCCTATGATATAAAGGTATCAGCACTATTGGGAAAAGACAACATGTTGGCGGCAATGTTCTGCTGGGAAACCTTCGATCCGGCAGTCATGTGGATGGTGCGTCAACATGTATCACCTACCAGTTGACCATGTTGACCCCTTCATGGCAGCAGTATTCCCTGATGGCAGGGGCCTCTTTCAGCAGGATAATGAACCATGTCACACTGCAGAAGTTATTTGGGATTGGTTTAAGCAACTTGACGATGACATCTAGGTGTTGATTTGGCCTCCCAGATTCCTCAGATCTCAATTCAATAGAGCATCTATGGGACACACTGGAAAAACAAGTCAGATCCATGGAGGCTGCACCTTGCAACTTCCAGGAAGTATCTGCTGTTAACATCTTGGTGCGTGACACCATAGGACACTTTCAGAGCTGGCACAAAGGGGACTCGCACAATATTAGGCAGGCGGTTTTGATGTTGTGGCTCATCGATGTAGGTGCCTACACCAAAAGAAAAAACAAAATCAATATATGCTTTCTTTCATTTTCAGAAAGCATTTTTTGGCCACGACTTTCAAAGAAATGACACTTTATCATCCTTATTGTAATCTTGTCCCTGTTCGATATACATCCACATGTGTTGTTCAGAAGATCACGGTACCATTTATGCTTTTGTGTCCATTGCCAGGTTGGCTGCAAAGCCGTGATTGTGTTCTTCCAATATGGTGTAATGGCCAGTTTCTTCTGGCTGCTGGTGGAAGGCCTTTATCTTCACGCACTGCTGGCTGTCTCTTTCTTCTCTGAGAGGAAGTACTTTTGGGCCTACATTCTCATCGGCTGGGGTAAGAATTTTTTATTTTTTATGTCATAATAGAGAACCCACCGGGTGTCAGCAGAAGATGAGCTACAGGCTTGGAGCCTTGCCGCTGGGATACAATAATAACTTTCTCCGTTATATGTCTCGATATATTTCATGTCCCCAGGAGGTCCAACAATTTTCATCACAGCCTGGAGCATTGCCAAAGCTTACTACAATGATGTGGGGTGAGAGAAACACCAGGGAACTGCTGCATCTTTTTTTTTTTTGTCTTGATTTACTACATCTTGTACATTAACATTGTGTCATGTCCTGCCAGGTGCTGGGATATAATCGAGAACACGGATATGTTCTGGTGGATCATTAAAACCCCTATTTTGGCATCAATACTGGTAAGTTTATAAGCCTGAAGCACCGTGAGATCTCAAATCGGATTTTGCCAAAGTAGCTAACACCAAGAGCATCTGTGGCAGCTATCACAGAGCCACATCAGACTATTCCTTCTGTTCTGTATGTCAACACAACTGAGAAGTTAGTATGACCTCAAAGTTCTCATTTCACTTTGGAAAGTTGGCAGGACACCATCGGTTTGTTTTTCTTGATTGGTAGGTTTTTCTTGATTGACAGGTCATCTTGTACTTTTTGAGCATTGCATCGGCCGTTGAAATCTGACGGACGGAAAGCTCATAGAGAGAAATGTTCAAAGAAGCATCGAGTCTGTTTGAATAAAAAACAGTCACTTTTGATACACTTTGGTGTAAGTTTATATGGGAGTGGATTAAAGAAGTGATCGTGGGTTAATTAGTAAGATTTAAAGGTAATGCTGAGAGACAGAATTTGGCAGTTCACTCTATTGCCACAAGTTTTGCAAATACCACCCTCATTTCATAAATATGAAGCTACAGCCAGCATCATGTTAGCTTAGCTTAGCACAAAGCAAGGTGTAGCAGCGAGCCTGGTAGTCCACTGTAAATAGAAAAAAAAATAACACTTCTAAAGATCACTGATTAACACATATAAGTTATTTAGTTCACCCACTAATCACAATATTAAAGCAAGTTTTGGTTTTATGAGTGCTTATGTGACAGCAAGACAATTAAAATGACACAATTAAGCCAATAGCAAAATCCACAGTTACATCATAAATTTAGATTTTTAGACTATGCTTTTTGCACGGAACAAGTTCTAACATATTTTTTTTTAGTAACATTTAAAGGTGAAGTCTTTTGATTTGGTTCCCTACAGAAGAAAGCTGCTCACCCCTGTTTCATGTCTTTACCCAAAGCCGCACTCGCATCTGGCTGCTGGCTGTAGCTTCATATTTAGAGATATGAAAGCCAAAAGGTCAAACTATAATTTTAAAAATGAGCATCTCTCCAGGGTGCCGATCAAAACCCAATATTTAGTAAAAAAAAAAAAAAAAAGCTGAGGTGTGACAGCTGACGCATAGATTGAACCACTTAAGAAAAACAGACGGTAATCTCCATTGGCAGCGTGTGTGTGTTTCCGACAGACACATTTGTGAGTGTGTGAGTGAGAGATGAAAACACTTTCAGAGAGGTGTGAAAAGGAGGGTAAAGATGAGTTCAACAACTGTGATTTAAGGGAGCTGCGGCGGTGTGAAATATTCCTTTTAGTAAAGAACCTGCATTTACGGAGCGGTGTTTTTATTTTCTCTGTCTGAGCTGCTGAGATAGAGTCTCGAGATAAGATAAGATAAGATAAGATAAGATAAGATAAGATAAGATAAGATAAGATTTATCAAACACTGTCTTTTTTGGAACCTGCCTGTACATTTATTGTTGTGTTAAGCAAATAGGAGGAAACACTTTTATAGGAAAACTAACAACAGCCCGTTTTATACATACATATAATGAAACATAATGCATTTGTTAGTGAGCTTTGCAGCCGTTCTCTATGTTTAAAGTGTTTGCCCTACGGTAATGACTGCTGGCTGCAGCTTGTATCGATCTTTATTTAATGCTCAGTAGAAAAGCGAAAACTATTACTTTAACAAAACTAATGACAAAACAGCATGTTGGCGAATACAAATTGTCATCCTTTACTGATGCTTCATAAAGTCCTCTGTCTGTTTAACTACAGTGTTTGGCAGCGGTTTTTCCCAGCAGGTTGACTTGTGTTGTTTCACATGAGGATCAGGATCAGCAGCCTGGCTGTCAGTTCGCTCTGTCTCTGTCTGTCTGCAGCAGCTGAGTGCTGGTGTGCATCACGATGTGGGGATGTGCTGCCAGTTCAGAGGTCCAACCCAAATTAACAATTTAGAAATGTTCATTTTCCCACAGGGCAGCATCACAATCCAGGCAGAGCAAGATGAAATTCAGCATCAGGCTGATGATTTCACTAACATTCCTCCGTAAAACACTAAAAACATGAAGAAGTTGTGACTTTCTCGAGAATCATGTTGGAAAAAAACAAGTCTGTCATCATCTGCAAGCACTAAATCCCATTTACATCGTACAGTACATCAGTATAATGAATACTATTCTCCACAGATGAACTTTATTCTATTCATCTGCATCATCCGGATACTTCGCCAGAAGATCAACTGCCCAGATATCGGAAGAAATGAGTCCAACCAGTACTCGTGAGTGTAATTTCATGTCTTTTTCATGCTGTGAATTTGTATTATTTATCAGCTAATGTGAAATGAAATGTCGCTGATCCGTGTGTGGATGTCAGGAAGAATCTCCACCACTTAAGTGGTTTGCGTCTTTGGCTAAATTTGGTCCACGTTCTGTGAATCGTAGCTGCTTTTACAAGGGTAAACAAAGATCATCTGGAATAAACTCACGTAGCTGAAAGGAAGATAAACACTTTTGTCCTGTGGGTACAAATATTATAAATGTATCTCTGTTACGCTCCAGGCGATGCAGGGATAACCAATCCTTTTGGACTTCAGAAGAGAAGCTCATCGCTTTACCACATGGTGTTCAGCACACTGTATTCTCCCCCCGGCAGCTGCTTTACACACAGATGTAGAGCTTCATGTATTTAAGTGATTTTTTCCTCTGACAGAGAGCATCTAATAAGCCCGCCATAATGCATCAGCTATTTTTCCACTGACAATTTAAATGGTGTGGGCTTTTTTTTTTTCTCCCCATCTCTGGTCCACTGAGCTGAAACGTAAACTGAAAAGTACTCCACAGTTGCATTTCGTTATTGTTGTACACAGAGACAGATTGAAAATTGGTTTCAGTGGAGGGAGACATTCTGAATCTGTTTTTGCTTTGTCGTTTCAGGAGGCTGGCAAAATCAACGCTGCTTCTGATTCCTCTGTTTGGGATCAATTTCATCGTGTTTGCATTCATCCCGGAGCAAGTGAAGACTGAGCTGAGGCTAGTTTTTGACTTGATTCTGGGATCATTTCAGGTACGATAGCAACTTGTGGTTGTATTGTGTTCCATTCTGTCACCTTGTACTCCATTTTTGAATTTGATTTACATAAAATATTTTTCCACAATCTAAAAGTAATAATTACCCACTTTATCAGCTCTCACCTACAAGGGCTTCTCTTGAATAAACACATCTTCACACACTGCAGGCTGATACAGTGTTTGGAGCTAATTCAGTTCGTCACGTAATGAGGAAGGATTGGAGAGCGCAGCGGCATTCGAGACAACCAAGGAAACCTTTCCATTCCTGTCCTCATTAATGCTAAAAACCTTTCACATTAAGCATTGTTCCTGTCACTGTAACACATTTGTTTGTCTCACGAATGTTATTCCTAAATTACAAATAGTTGTACAGACAAGATAAACTCATTCAACAAGACACTTCACAATGACTCACACTGTTATTGCTCTTTCATCTGTGCTTTTCTTTCCCTTCAGGGTTTCGTGGTCGCCGTTCTTTACTGCTTCCTCAACGGAGAGGTAGGTTCCCCCCTTCACACTGATGTAAACATTATAAGCACACTGTTTAAACCTTAAGATTTCCATGCGGAGGTGGTTCTCAGAAAACGTAGTTTATCTCTGGCTTGCTCCCTTTGTGCATCATTTATATTCACACACAGTCATGAGAGGTATATGAGTTACCATCGCTGGTCGCTCCTGACGTCTCTCCTCCCTCGGACCTCCTTGGGGCATATTTTCTGCTTGCGGGGTGGAGGGATGGTGGTGGGAGGCTGTAAAAAGCTCAGCCTTTTTGGCAGGGAGCTACTCAGTAATGTCTGCGGAGGATCTCTGTGGGCAGATTAGTTATGTTCTCAGTGCTGGGCCAGATTGAATCACAGTGATGGGCCTGATGGCAAGGCTTTGACAGTATGCCGCCTGAATTTTAATGCTGCAATTTTCAGGTGTCCTTTGTTAAGTGCGATGCTTTGGCGGTGTAACGTTATTAAGTTTTTAAACTGCGGACGCCTCAAAGAATGGAATATTGCACTGGACAATATTTGTTATATTAAAGGCATATCAAGTCGCAACCCAACAAATGAAATGTAATATTGAGAAAAGATAGCAAACTTGATTGAAAACAAAATGAAATGACGGGGAGGAAAGGAACAGTGGAAAAATATGTGCTGGGACACAAATACGCTCTCAGTAAACAAGCTTTATCCATTATTTCTACCTAAATAATGTAACACAGTAGACACAGAAACAAAGACACACTCACATGCAAGTTTGTACACCGATTGTGGATAAAACAAATGATAGTCCAATGCAGCAGTCATGCAATAAATGATGAAGTGTCACTGCTTTAATCTGTAAAATACTTCACATGAGCATGAACTGATAGTGAAAGTTGCATTGCAAAAGTTCCCACGTCAGGGGCTTGTAGCTTTGCAAGAGATTTGAAAAGTTGCAACAGAATTTAGACACTAATCCAACGTTTAAAATTTTAAAAAATTAATAAATAAATAAGATCAGTAGCCATATTGGTGAGGCTCTCTCTACTTTCAACCTGCAGAAGGTCCTTTGGCTTTTTAGTTCACTTCTCCCCTCTGACTTTGGTTTAAATGAAAAATAATCTTAGTTTTGGGGCTTATTTTCAAGCTTCCAACTCCAACTTGGTGATCTGTTATTCATTCTCTGGATGCTTTTTAATGTTTCCTCCCTGTCCTTCAGCTTTGGCTGCTGTTGGTGGTCTCGCCAACCACCAGTTTAATGTATAATGCAGTGTACCCGCTTACAGCTTCTCCAAACAACAAATTAGAAAGCTTTTATCAACATGTTATGAACTGCGTGGTCATTATCGTCCAATGTAGTCCAGAGTAAGCAGTGGTAAATCTGTTTTTTTTGCTGTATGAATAAAGCAGCGATGAAATACTTGACGAGGGAGTACCAAGAGGGCATTTTCAAGGAAAGGAGAATTAAATTATACTTCTGGGAAATAAAACTGAAGTGAAACCCTGACAAGCTTTTACGTCGGGTCACAAATTGGCTTCAATAAACAGAGAAGAACAAGTTGCTGTTGCTTGCTAAATCAATGACAAGCGCATCATTATGTCAAGGTTTGTTAGTCAGTCTGTCTTTGTTCCAGCGGGGGGGGGTTTATACAACAAAATTCCACTGAACTCATCTTTCCGTTTTAGGTCCAAGGAGAGATCAAGAGGAAGTGGCGGAGATGGCATTTGCAGAGATACATGGGCTCAGACACCAAATACCAACACCCGTCTATTGGCAGCAGCAACAACTTCAGCACCCAGATCACCATGCTGTCGCGATACAGCCCGAAAACACGCCGCGGTTCGTCCTCCTGCCACGACGACTTGTCAAGCATATAAAAACACAGACCAACACGCCATCCAAATTGCTCTCATGCCAAACATTAGGGAGATGTGCAAACTCTACGAAGAAAAGATACACACTCCCTCATTAGCACATGCAGGTGTGGTGTCGTTTGAGTGTGGTGTGGACGAAGGAAAGCAATGATAGGATGGAAAAAAGGAAGAAAACAGTGTGAGCAGCTCTAAATCTTTTCTTTCCCAAAAAAAAAAAAAAGTTTTTGTGACAAAGTTACAAGCTTCACAAGCACAGCTTTTGCACATTTCAATGAGAAACCGTTCGCTTTTTGTATTTCACAGCTCAGCGCACGTGTACAGGTGAATTTGTGGGTCACATCATTACATGCAGTCTATCATTATCAAGTTCCCTGAGTGCTCTGACACCAGACGAAGTGAAATGTCACGTATTTATGTGGCTTGGTGACTGATCCAAACATGAACTATGCCAGCCGACGCGCAATCTGATGTAATTATGAACTGATAACGAACCACTTCATGGATTCCTGCTGCTCCAAATGAACAAGGCTGGTTTACAGACGTTAGAAGACACAGATCTGATGGTTTCTAACAGGGTATCTTTTCTTTAAAAAATAAATGTTTTTACTCATGCAGTGTGCAGTGGCATCACAGGCGAAGAAGAAAAGTAGAAGAAATGCATTACGGGGGTGCATTTTGAGTGTTGAATGTGAGCAGTGATGGAAAATATGCTGTAAAGGTTTACGCAACCAAAAAAACACCCCAAATTGCTGTGCAGGATTTTGTTTTCCTCACTGTGCAGGAAGACAGAAAAAGAACGACTGGCTGATAAGCAGCAGCAAACCTGATTTCCATAAACGCAGAACGGATGAGGCTTCAGACCGGCTGGCCAGTGACGCTGATTCACGATGATGGGTTCGGAGCACAAATGCCCTTCTCTGCACTATCACTCTCACAGGAGACTGATTTGCCCTTTGCCTTCCCTTTTTATCAGCACAGCCTTTTCCTCTTGGTTCGTGTGAATCCGAGCCTGTGATTGGGTTGATGCTTCTTCATTATTCGAGGTGCTGTGGCAGTTTTTGTGCTGATGCCCGACGAGTGCCTGGTTTCAGTGTTTTGAAGTGACACTATCGGGCCAATCTTCACCTCGTGTCGGGCTTGCACAGCAACCCTGGAGAGCAAAATGCCTTTACGCAATTTCGTCCATGAATGTTTACACTTACTGGGGATGAGTCATGTAACATTGCATAGACATGTGTACAGTGGAAAGAAAATGAATTACAATGGAATTCTGTGCCATACTCGTTGTATTGTGGCTCCAATGCCAGTAATGAGTCACTGACTGTTGTTTGTTTATGTGATCGAAAAGAGGAGACTTTAAAGCCTCGCCAAGAATTTAAAACTGTCTTGTGCCAACTTGTTTATGTAGCAATCTGTGGTTTGTTGTCAAGAATAGCAGGTAAATAAAAGCTGCTGCATTACACAGAACTTTAAAATTCATAACGCATACAGGGACGCTCTCTTGGTGATGCTCATGGCAGACTGACAAATCTGGAATCCTAAACCTCTATTCTACGAAATATAAGTTCTCCATTAACTTGTGTGGTTTAGACTCCTCTCTTTGAATAATTTGAACCTGACAAGTCAGCAAAGCAAGCAATGCAAAGCAGGACGACAAAGATGACTGGCTCTGTCACAACCGTGCCGTCACTCTGCTCATCTGCCTACTGAGGTCAAAGTTACTCACATGTTCTTGCGAGACGGAGCATCCAGGAGGTCCAGCTTTAGTTGGAAAACATGAACCATCATCTCAACTCACCGCTGATTAAACCAAGTATTATGTGTCATTCCACCTCAATTTACCTTTTTAAATTTTTTTTTAAAAGTTCACACCTGACCATCTCATATTTGTCTGATTTTTTTTTTTTTTTTTTGTGCAAACGTTTGTTAGTAAGTAAAACGTGCAAAATTTTTTGGTTACAGGTGTAAATTGTCAATTTTTGCATCGCTTTCGTCGTGCCAATCTGTGCAGAAATGTTTAAAGTGCTATAACTTGAGAAATAATGTAGCTTGAGTCCTGAAATTTTGCAGACTCTTTGATATGTATATATAATCTCTAATGGTACAACCCTGCTTGGATAGAATATTACAAACTAATTATATAATGGTGCAAATTTGGTCAAAAAATGTTAATGTCTTTCCACTTGTGTCTACTCCGACATTCCACCAAGCATAAAGCCTTTATTTTTCACCCTAAGAGGCAGATTTTTTTTCCCGTAGTGATTGGCACTGATAGTAGCTTTAAAATGTAGAGAGGCACAGATGATGAGAAAAAAAATGATTGTAATTATGTTTTATGAATTTATGGCCAGTATTAGGACGTCATTGAGCAGGTATGATGGTGAAACCACTCCAATAGTGGTCCCAACTGGAAGAGTTATATGATATTGTTACTAGGTTAAAAGAAAAATCATAGCTTTCTAACTCATAGTGCTTCAAATAACTTTATGAATTATGAATCTTTAAGAATATTTAACTAAAATACTAATGCTAGCTATGACCCCAGAGTTTACACATTATCAACTCAATCAGTATTCACTACTTTTTATAAAATCTGTCTTTTAAGATGGTCAGGTGTGGGGCATGCTGTGAATTGAGGCAGAATGACCTTCATGAAATAATGAACAGCAAAGGCCTTCATTTAGGATCTTTTGTTGATGAAACAAAAACAGATTTACACCACAGCCGAATAGCTTTTTCTCCATTTCCAGTGCAATGACAGGAAACGGCTCAGATTAACTATCGTGCAACTTAACATTTAACAACTTGAGATCAATCAACCTTCACGCGCCAAAAAGGCAAAATTAACATATTTTCCAAAATCCCATTAAAGATGAACATCCCACGTTGTTTAGTGCCTGTCTTCTGTTGTCAGTGATGTTTAATGTCATTGTGTGAATTTGCCAACATACCTCTCATAACGGTGAATGTAAATAGATCTGTACATACGGAAGAAGCAGTTACAGTGTTTTTAAAGTCAGTCACAGATAATCTTTCAGTGTTTCCTGAACGCAGCATGGTTGTTTAGTAATAGGTGAGGCGACATTAAAAAGGGATATTGATTCAGCAGACATTCAGACGTGCACTTACAGTAACTATTAAGTGCTGAAGTATGTGTATTATAGATTTGTTTATTTGCAAACTGGATATTGTGTTGTGTATATTTAAGATATAGGAGTTGATTTGTTGTTAGTGCAATGCTTGTAACACTGGTGCAATGCCTACCATTGTGAAGCTACAAATGTACTGTACCTATTTATTTGCTTGAGTTCACAACAATGTACAAATAAAGACACTTTTTCTTTTTAAAATGTTATTTTTGGTACATTATTATTATAATTATTATTAATTTTGTTGTCATTTTAATGTGTATAAAGTAAAGTAAATTAATGATCCAACTGTCCGAAAAAATGTGACGTTGCTCCACTCCTATCATATGAAATAAATATACAAAAAGGTGGATGTTTAGTTTCATTATATAGCACTTCAAAGTTGTTGTAAATGTTCGTATCTTTCAGGTGAAGTGAGGTTAAAGGTTCTGTAGCATGAACAACTGCGCCACCCTCCCTGACACCTTGCTGCCTAATTTAGGCTTATTTTCATAAGTGCTGCTACTTGACAGGGGTATGGCCTCAAGTTCATTCATCTGACTCTCATTTAAAGCCCCAAACTCAAGTTGTTCATGCAATTATGCTAATTCTTGTAGTTAAAACAAAAAAAACTGTCCTATTTGCACTTATTTGTACATGTAAATATTCATATTCCACAATCAGAGCCTCTTCAACGGGCATTCTGTCCACGTTTAGCTTAAAAAACTGATGAAAACCTGATCAGATGTCCCTCGTTTTATTATGCAGGAACACAACTGGATGTTTCGGCTGATGTGAATGCGAAATATCATCAGTAGGCAGAACATCAGGTTCTTTCGCAGACGGTGTTTGTCGCAAACAGTTGCAACATCACTCTGCAGCTCAAGGAAAGGAATTATCCCAGTAAATGACTGTACCTTTTTGCTTTATTGTGTGCAGCTAAAGGTCACACTGCCCTTGAAAGACAATAGTGTCTGAAACCTAGAAAAATAGCTCTTTTAAGAAACGAAGTGCATCCAATTTAATGTAATTTTCATGCGTGTGGACAGTGACAAAAAAGGAAACGAGGACATTTATTCACTCACTTTGATGTACTTCATCACATTGACTCCACCACACATTGAATTACATATTTTATTATTCATACAAAGTGCATCTTTTATAACTGTTCTGTAACTGTTTTATAACCTGTACAGCATAAATAAAATCATAGAAATGGACTTTAGCCTGGCTTTTACACCACCTTACAGGCAGGAACAACAGCATTTACACCACTGGCATAACTATGTAAAGACACAACGTTGTAACGTAAAACAAACAGCATGTATGACCACCGCTAAGTTTTTAACACAGGGTCTCTTGTGAGGCTGAGGATGAACACAAGACAGCAAGTGAGTCAGAAGTAAAATGGGCCTAATTCTGTTATAGCAAGATCCAAAATGGGCAAAAAGTTAAATTTTTATATCGTAGCTCAAACTGAACAGTCATATATGTGAACATATCTCTGATTTATCATTTAAATTAAAGTCTGAACCATTCTTAGAGTTACTCCAAATACTTCATACTGCTTTAATACATTCAGTTAAGACTTGTGAGCAGTTGGGTATTGGGGTATTGTTGTTGTTTTGCTGTGAAATTTACCCATAACCTACACCTGACTTTAACTTAAAGGGGCCCAGTAGAAGTTTTCAATCACTTCTAGCAGTGTTCTGATTAAAGGACCTCTGTTTTGTCAGTCCAGTGACCCACCAAATGTGTAATAACCACATTGGTCCACAGTGCAAAATGCATAATTTGCACCAAAATGGCTGTAAATGTGAGATGTTAGGGGCAATTTATTTCTGATAGTGTTTCTTCAGTTCCTCAGTCCAGGCTTGTGTTGACTCCTGGAGGTGTGATCGAGGTAAAAGAGTTTCCATTTGTTTGGAAAGCACTTTGTGTTCCAGTTTATTTGTAGAAAAAGTTCAACATACATAAAGT